CATTCTAACAGGTGTAAGGTGGTATCTCAGAGTCGTTTTGATTTGCATTTCTCTGGTTTTGTTGGTTTTTCGAGACAGAGTTTCTCTGTGTAACAGCCCTGGCTGTCCTGGAACTCACTCTGTAGACCAAACTTGCCTCGAACTCACAGAGATCTGCCTGCCTCTGCCTCCCGAAGGCTGGGATTAAAGGTATGCGCCGCTGCCACCCGGCTCCTATGTTAACCTTTTAATAAAACATTTTCTTTTTTTTTTATTTTATTTTACAATACCATTCAGTTCTACATAACAGCCATTTGCTAATTATTTTGGGGTTTGTATGGCTAGAGAAAATGAAGTAGTTACATTTCTAGGTACCCATTTTAAAAAGTGTTTCTTTTTTATTGTCTTAGATCCCAGTGTGTTTGTTTTTTTGTTTATTTGTTTGTTTGAAGCAGAGTCTCACTCTTTAGCCCAAGCTGGCTTCAAGCTCATAGCAATCCCCCTGCCTAAGCCTCCTAAGTGCAGGATTATAAGTGTGAGCCACCACACCTGGCTTAGGTCCAACATTTTCATTTTTGTTCTTTTATTTTTATTTGTATTGGTGTTTTGACTGCATGTGTGTCTGTGTACCACATGTGTGCCTAGTGCCCAAAGAGGCCAGAAGAAGGTATTGGATCCCCTGAGACTGGAGTTAACAGTTACAACCACTGGAGGAAGTTGGGAGCCACAATGCGGGTGCTGGGAACCTAGCCCAGCTCCTCTGTAAGAGCAGCCAGTGCTCTTAACCACTGAGCCATCTCTAGATCAGGTCCAAAAATTTTAAGATTTTTATCCACTAAGTAAAAATTGTTTCCTATTTCATTTTGTGAAGATTTATATAATACAAATAGAAGTTTAGAAATCTCATGACAATTAGAGGGCTCTGAGTAAAAATAAAGAAGAAACAGGTCATTCTGTCAGCCTTGCAGGGCCAAGTGCCCAGAGTCCAGATGGGATTCCATTCCATCACCCTTTGTGTGCTCAGCTGATGCAATCTGCTTGCTGCTTTCTAACGCACTAGCTCACAGCTTTGGGCAAGACTTTTTATCATGGTATCAGGGCCGTGATAGCAACCACAACACCACCGTCCCTGCCTAACCCTGTAGGCAGGTGAACGTCAGGATGTGCACGGTCCCTGTGTAAGCCTTGTGTGTTCTCTTTTAGCGCTGGGCTACAAGGAACCGCTAGGACACATAGACTTCTACCCGAATGGAGGACTGGATCAACCGGGCTGCCCAAAGACAATATTTGGAGGTAAGTGTCATACGTGGAAATGCAAATTAAAATATCTGATACAAGCCGGGCGGTGGTGCACGCCTTTAATCCCAGCACTCGGGAGGCAGAGCCAGTCAGATCTCTGTGAGTTCGAGGCCAGCCTGGGTTACCGAGTTAGTTCCAGGAAAAGGTGCAAAGCTACACAGGGAAACCCTGTCTCAAAAAACCAAAAAAAAAATTATCTGATACTAGCAGGTGTGATGATACATACCTGTAACACCAGCAGTGGGGAGGAGGAGGCAGGAGGATCTGAGTTCAAGCACAGCCATGAGATCCTGCCTCACAAACACAAACACAAACAAAAACAAAACCCATAAATTACCTGCTATCAATGGGCATTGTGAATAGAAAAACAGACAGCCTGGAAAAAAAAGAAAAAAAAAAAAACAGAGGTGGCAGAACTATATCTCACAAAACACAAATAGGAAGTTGGAGGGCAGCCTAAAGGTGAGATGAGGGCCAGAGTCAGGATCTGGTCCTCCCTAAGTGCTCTGACTTATTCCTCACCACTGCTAGAGAAAGGAAAATCGTCTTGAAAAGCTTCTAGAACAAGGATGCTCTGGAGGTTTGGGAACTGCCCCAGGGGTTAAGCATGCTCACTGCCCCTCAGGGGTTAAGCATGCTCACTGCCCCAGGGGGTAAGCATGCTCACTGCCCAAGCCCAATGGCCCGAGCTCAGATGCCAACACCCACACGAAAGGCTGTGGGAGGCAGAGGCAGGAGGACCACTGAGGTTTTCCGGATGCCCGCCTAGGGCCATATTCATCAAGAGACGCTGTCTCCTCAAAGGAATTGGTGAAGAATGACAGAGCAGGACCCCCGTGTCCGCCTCTGACCTCCAGGAGCCTGCACGCATTGGTATATGGTATACACTAACATACCACATTCACACATTTGAAAAAAGCTAACGATGGTTTGTACAAAATGACGTCCGTATAGGGCCACATTGGAATAGCAAAGTGTTTGAAAATGATCCAGCTGACATGACTTAAGCTGGCTTAACCATATGACTGAGCATCCAAATCCTGTCCTGTGCGACAGAGTGATCACACGTATCCCCTGCATTGTTACTGACACCATGGGATCTACTAGAGGAGGTCCTGAGGAGCAGGAAGGCGTGCTGGCCTGTCAGGTTTTACCTCAGTCCGGTTTGGCCCCGATGCCTCATGCCCTCTTGGTCCCAGTTTGCCCTTCACTGTCTCCTGTGTGGGCTAAACCGAGCGCTGGAAACAGGAACACGGATGTAGTAGCAGCACTCAATGCCCCACCCCACAAGCCATCACAACCATGGGGCCTGTTTCCTGTTTTGTTTTGTTTTTTCCTAGACAGGTTTCTCTATATATCCTTGGCTGTCCTGGAACTCACTCTGTAGACCAGGCTGGCCTTGAACTCACAGAGATCCGCCTGCCTTTGCACCCTGAGTGCTGGGATTAAAGGCGTGCACCACCACCACCTGGTTGGGGCTCAGTTCTTTTTGGAACCACACCAGCAGCTCCAGGTCTGTTGATATCCATCTATCTCTGTACATCATCAGCCTCCCGCTGCACCGTAACACCTCATGCGTGACATCTACTGAGAAAGAGTCCTGCCTCTGACCACTCTTGCTTAGTCTCTCCCTGCCATCACCTGCCATTCGGTCCTTCTCAATTCACTCTGGTGGCAGGAACAGAACCCAGGCACCAGGAGACTAGCACGAATGCCCCTTGGAGCCATACAACCTTAGATTCCTGCCGTGGTGGTCCTACGGCTGTCTGGAGGCATTGTTGGAGATGTCCTGAGACCTACTGAACTGAGTCCAGGAGAGCTTGGTAGCTTCTCGCTGGCCCTCACTGCCGGAAACTCCTCTAGGGTCACTCCTCTAGATCCACACAACATCTCCCTACTCAGATTGCAGATGAGCTAGACTTAACCTCCACAAGCTCCTGTGTCAGTCACTGTTCTGTTGCTGAGAAGAGGCACCATAACCAAGGCAAGTCTTATAAAAGAAAGCATTTCTATCACAGCCCACAAAGAACCAGCTTCCAGGGTGCAGAAGGAAAGTCCACGGTGTAGCACAAACTGAGACTTTTTCATCTGAGGGGGTTAGGGAGAAATAATCTCATGCACTCTCTCTCGATGGTTTCATTTCTTTATTCTCTGATCTTGTTTATGTCACGTCATATTGTTCTGTCTCATTGATCCATTGTTCCCTTTCTCTCCACTGCTTAAAAACTCTAACAGAATCTCTCAGACAGCTAGGTACCGTATATCTTGTAATATCCACTCAGCCAGGCACTTTCCATGAAATTAATGACCAAAATGCTTAAAACTTAAGAGTGTATTCTTTGTCCTGTGTATAACTTCTAATTATCCAAGAATAATTGCAGCCCTCACAGGGGTTACAGAGTCAGATTGTTTTCTATAGCCTTGACTAGTCAGAATTTATTTTTTCAAATTGGGGTCAGGAACGGATGCAAGGACTTAATCATTTGCCACCTAGCAACAATTGGGCTGTTTTTGTATTTATAACCTAGCCAGATAGTGGAACTGTGTGTCCTTGTGAATTAAAAATTGGAAACGTTTACCTAAAAACCCATTAGCAAGGCATTTGGTCTAATCTAAAGCTCTTTTGAAGGTTTGTTTCACCTAATGATGTACAAAAGCCTGTGACTTCATAACTCAGCATAAAGATTAAAGGAATTTGAGCCAGCTTGGTGCAGCTAGAGTTTTCCTGCCTTGCCCACAGTCAGGACAAATCTTTGTCACCCGCCAGTCCCATAGCCACTCAGACCCAAACAAGTAAACACAGAGACTTATATTGCTTACAAACTGTATGGCCATGGCAGGCTTCTTGCTAACTGTTCTTATAGCTTAAATTAATCCATTTCCATAAATCTATACCTTGCAATGTGGCTCGTGGCTTACCAGCATCTTCACATGCTGCTTGTCCTGGCGGCGGCTGGCAGTGACTCTTTCTGCCTTCCTGTTCTTTTATTTCTCCTCTCTGTTAGTCCCACCTACACTTCCTGCCTAGCCACTGGCCAATCAGTATTTTATTTATTGACCAATCAGAGCAATTTGATATACAGAACATCCCACAGCAGCCTGGCTCCTGAACTCAAATGTTTTCCTAAATCATAAATCTGAGCTGTGCCAGGCGTGGTGGCGCACGCCTTTAATCCCAGCACTTGGGAGGCAGAGGCAGGCAGATCTTTGTGAGTTCGAGGCCAGCCTGGGCTACCAAGTGAGCTCCAGGAAAGGCGCAAAGCTACACAGAGAAACCCTGTCTCGAAAAAAAAAAAAAATCTGAGCTGTAAGCTAAAGCAGGTCCTAAATGTCTCACAGACCTCGTGGAACAATAGGCCTTAGTTATGAAACATATCCTAGAATTGTTTTTATTCAGCAAAACTCTGTATCAATAGACAATACAGCTTAAGGAGGAATCATCTTCTTGGCAATACACAGAAATAGATACCCAGAAGATTGGGATGTTTTCATGAGATAAACATACTACAATGCAGGTAGTGGGGGACTCCCTATATACATATACATTATATCAGATACCAAAGGTACAGCAGAAGCAAAAGACATTCTGGAGTCTGTATTCTCATAAGCCTTGCTTAAGTGAGACATATCCATCAGAGTGTTTCTTCTGGTGGGATGACACCTGAACCTCAATTGTCACCTGCGGTTGCTCTGACAGGGCCACAGCCACTGGCACATTTCACTGGGGGCTTACCTACAGTTTCAGAGGCATAGTCCATTATCTTCATGGCAGGGAGCATAACAGCAGCTAGGCGTGGTGCTGGAGAAGTAGCTGAGAGCTATATCCTGACCCATAGTCAGAGAGAGAGAGAGAGAGAGAGAGAGAGAGAGAGAGAGAGAGAGAGAGAGAGAGAGAGAGAGAGACTCTGGGCTTTTGAAACCTCAAAGTCCACCGCAGAGATGCACTTCCTCCCAACAAGGTCACACCTCTTTCTTTTCTTTTTCTAAGCTGCACCATTCTGATCTCTGCCATATCCTCAGTCCCTACCATACCGGCCAATGAATAAGACTGCAGCCAAACTCATACCAGCATTAGATGCCAGCTTAGTCTGCAGGTCCTATTGATCTATCCCCCTGAATTCTCAAAAATGTCTGTGGCCCTGGGTTGTATTGGCCAACAGCTCACTCACTTTTAGAGTGAGCATGAAACTTGAGAACAGTTTTGCTAGTGGGAGATTAATGCTTAGATATGAGTTTCCTTCTAGGGTTCACGATGGCCACACCTCTTAATCCTTCAAATGCTTTCGAATAGTGCCACTCCCTGGTGACTAAGCATCCGACTATATGAGCTCACGGGGGCCATTCTTCTTCAAACCACCACACCATTAGAGAGACATTTTGTTTGTCCCCATCTTGCCCACAGAATCAATATTTCCTTTCACCTTCTCTGCTGGCCTTGCCAGCTCTCTCTTTCAAAGCTGCCCCTCCGCTGCCCTCCTTGGAGTCATTCCTCAGTGCCCTATTTTCCCGATGGCCTTCCTTCTTCCTGTTTTACTTTTTGGGTGTGTGGATTTGCAGGCCAGAGATCCTCATCAGATGTCATTCTCAGGAGCCATCCATGTTGTTTTTTTGAGACAGGGTCTAGGAGTTGATTACCTTGTTTTGTTTTTGTTTTAATTAAATTTATTTATTTATTTTATATCCCAACTGCAGATTTCCCTCCCTCCTCTGTTTCTGTTCAGAAAGGGGCAGGCCTCCTATGGGTATCAACAAAGCATGGCATATCAAGTTGCAGTAAGACTAAGCCCCTCTCCTTGTATTTAGGCTGAGCAAGGCAATCCAGTATGAAGAATAGGTTTTCAAGAGCCAAAGCATTAGGGACAGCCCCTACTCCCACTATTAAGAGTCCCACAAATAGACCAAGCTACACAACTGTCACATATATGTAGAGGGCCTAGGTCAGTCCCATGCAGGTTCCTTGGTTGTTGGTTCAGACTCTGTGACCTTTTATGAGC